CCCCTCCCTCCCTCCCTTTCACTATTTAAAAAATCAATGGGAAAAATATCCTTGGGTACCCTGGGTGAGGATTACAGAAAGAATGAAGTGTAAGAGCCAGCTAAAGGCCTGGGTGTGCCCCCGCCAGTGAGAAGGTAGAAGAATGATCAGATTAAACAAGTCAGAATCTTTAACATTTTAATTTTCTGTACATTAAAAAAAATTGTAGGCTGCTTAAGAATAGGTAATGTATTTTCTATTTCTTCATATCCCCTATGCAGGGATGGGAACCTTTTTTCTGCCAGGGGCCATTTGAATATTTATAACATTATTTGCGGGCAGTACGAAATTGTCAACTTAAAAATTAGCTATGAAAAAAAGCTCCTAGATTTATTGAATTTCGAGTCCAGCCTGCAGTTGCCTTGGCAGGGCCAGACCAAATGATTTGGGGCCGGACGTTCCCCATCCCTGCCCTATAACCTGTAGTATAGTGCTAGGTACAAAATAGACGTTCATAAATATTTGCTTCTCCCTGTGGCTTTTTAACATTTTGTGCTGAAGATTTTTTTTTAACTCCATGTGAGTAATAAGATATTAGGTTGAATTATCATAACACTTAAGTCATCTTTCAGAAGGCTAACTTTAAAATATAGATTATAATAGTCATTATTGTAGGAGTAGATGTAAGTAAAATAAAAAACTCTATTTAGCCTTACAACTCAGTACTGAAAATTTATATAAATCAGCTCTTAACTACTTATTCCATATATATTACTAGTGGGCCACTGCTTATGATGTGATGCCACATAGACCTTTGTGGCATAGACCTTTCCAGATGGCAGCCTTCTAAGCCTATGTTTTATCCTTGATTCTGTCCAGGAGATGTACGCGTAAGGAGTCGAGCAGGATTTGAATCAGAAAGAAGAGGTTCTCATCCATATATCGATTTTCGTATTTTTCATGGTAAGTGTTGGCAGACACAGTATTTCTCTCAGACGTTGATAAACTTCAGATCTTTATAAAATTACATAATTTACCAAGGGGAAAAGACTATATAAGAGAAAACTCTGTTATGTTTGGTATATTTTAAAAACATTGGGTCATGATAAATGACACTTCGTTCCTAGATGATGTTTGTAAAATGTTTAGGGATAATTAGAAATATGAAAACTGATGTACTTACCTTTTTAATTGAAATGTGAAATTACTTTGGTACATTTTATCTTTGAAAAAAATTTTTTTTCTTGAGTTTTAAATTTTATTTTTCAATTATAGTTTACATTCAGTATTATTTTGTATTAGTTTCAGGTGTACAGCATAATGGTTAGACAGTCAAATACTTTACAAAGTGATCTTCCCGATATTTCCAATATCCACCTGGCACCATACATAGTTATTACAGTATTATTGACAATATTTCCTATGCTGTACTTTACATCCCCATGACTGTTTTGTGACTTTTAATTTGTACTTTTTAATCCCTTTACCTTTTTCACCCAGCCTCCCAACTTCCTTCCCCTCTAGCAACCATCTGTGCTCTGAATCTATGAGTCTATTTCTAAAAAATATATCTTTAAAATTTTTATTTTGAATATTTTGTTTTCACTACTCCAGATATTTTTGTGCACATGACATTGTCTAAAGGTATTGCAAAATTAACAAGGTGTATCCTTTTGGTTTATTTGAAAATACACATCGCCTTTAATGATGTTGGGTAGAATGCATGTTTTGAAAACAAATATTGAGTGGGTCTGGCCCATAATGGAGAAAAGGGAAAAAACAGAACTTCTAAAACCTTTCAATATTAAACACAGTAAATCTGGTTTTGGAGAAGTTCCAGTTTTGGTAATATTGGATAAATTATTTGGATTAATACTCTAATTAAAAATATTAGAAAAATTGGCAAAACATAGAAGATGTATTTGAGTATATCAGAATGCTGTTAAGGCAGAGAGATGACCTACTTTTTCAGGCTACTTGCCCCCTCAGTAGCATCTGTTGATTCTGGGAAAGGTAGATAATAAGCTGAGCAGAGATTTTGGTGAACACTTAAGGCTAGAAAAACAAAAACAAGTCGTTATAGCTCACTGAGGTTTGGAGATTGGTCCTGTAAACTGTTGATGTTTAAGTTAGAAACCCCAAAATGCTAAACCTTAGAAACAAATCCCAGCTTTGAAACATCTTGATCAGCGATTAGATTAAGGTGATCTGTGACTTTAGTGCCTTAGTCATCTGCTAGAAGCAAACATTAATCCTCTAAGTCTCAAATCACCTCTGAATTTTTCATATGCAGTATCAAACACTGAATTAAAAATAAAAACTCATAAGGAGACAAGACAATGTGACAAAAAAATGAAGCGGAAACAACAGACAATAGAAATATCCACAGGGGATCCTAATATGGAATTATTATATGTGGGCTTTAAAATAACTAAAAGTAATTACATTGATTAAAAGAGAGAGAGAGAGAGACAGGATTGAGAACTTCCTTGGAGAATGTAAAAGAAGAACCAAATGGAAATTCTAAGACTGAAAAATGCCATGCCTTAAATATGAACTCATTGGAGATGGTTTTAACAGCATATAAGACCAAAATGAAGAGATAATTAGTGAATTGGAATATGGGTAAGAAGACAGTATTTAGAATGAAACAATGAGGCAAAAGGTAGAAAATACAGAAAAGACACATGGAGTATGTTCCATTTACATATTGCTCTGTACCGGTCAAGAATTGTGACGAATCTGGGATTTTACCTTCTTAGCTAACAAGTTTTTGCCTGTTACTGCTTCATGGGTGCTGGCAGAAGACACAGGACTCCTGGATCAGAGACAAAGGACTTCATTATTCATGACACAGCAACGTGAATATCATATTGTGTCAGTTCCTCCAGCACCCCCCTTCCCCATGTCCTACAGTGGCAACAGGGAAGGGATTATGTAGATATTTTACAAACAATGAGTTTGCATCACATTTGAGGAATAATGAGCTTGGGAATTTAGCCCTTTTATACTAAGAATACTCTGTGTCCCAGAGAAAGATCTTACTTATTCCTCAGGGATACTAACTGCAAACACAGCCCTGAGAAATGGCCCAGGTAAAGATTGGTCAGGGCTTGACATTCTTGGCACATCCACCAAGAAAGTGAACTGACACTGGGGCCTTCGTGGAGGATTGCTTCTCCCACTAGTAACAGCTGACCCCAAAACTTACTGGCATAAAACAGTAACCCTTTTTTATGATCAGTAATTCAGTGTCTTTAGACTTGTCTGTGCTTCACAATGTTTTCACCTTCACCTGGGGTAGTTCAGACAGCCAGAGATGGCTGGGTTGGCTCCACTAGGTCCATATGTTGGGGCCTCGGTTCTTCTCTACATGTTATCTCCTGGGGCTAGAACACCCAGGATGGCTTCTGCACTGTCCTATCTGGCGCAGGGATGGGATGGCTGGAATTTCCGGGATTGGCCAGGAATTCTCTCTGTAAACGGTAGTCTCAGGGTAGTTAGTTTTGGCAGTTACCTTCCCCCAGAGCAAGCATCCCAAGAGAGAGGAAGTGTGGGAGTTTCTAGTCTCTGAGGGTCCGGGCCTGGACGCTGGTGCGTCATGCTTTTACATTCTGTCGATCAGCTGTCACACAGTTTGCTCACATCATGCAGAGAGGGCATGGACCCTACTTGTCAAAGGGAGTAAGGTTAAAAGAACTTTCAGTCTTCTATCTTTAATCTGACCCAAAATGTGTCGAAAGGTGATTAGGGTCCCAGGAGAGGAGAGGGAGAATGTAGCAGAAGCAGCCTTTGGAAGGGTAATGCTTGGGAAATCTCCATGGCTTGATAAAAGACATTAAGGTACAGGCTCAGGAAGCATTATGAATCTCAAGTACAGTAACATTACAAGAAAACCACACCTAGCTATAACAAAGAGTAACTTTTACAACCAGAATCAAAGAGAAAATATTTAAAAGATAGAGAAAAAGAAAATTACCTTCAAAGGAGCAACTATGAGATTGCCAGAAACAGGTTGTTTAATTTTCAACAGAAACCAGGAAACTAGAAGATAACTTTGAAATGATGGGAAAAAAATAACTATCAAACTAAAATTTTAGCTGCAAACCTCCCTAGAGAATAAGAGAAAAAGGGACTTCACCTCTTACTAAGGCCAGCAGAATCTTGATACTAAAACCTGACAAGCCCTTATCACTCATGAGTATAGATGAAACATCCTAAATAACGTTATTAAATTAAGTCTGCAATTTATAGGAAGAATAATATATTTTGTCTCGATTTATATTTTTCCAGAAATATAAGATTGTTTTAACATTCAAAAATCAATCATTATAATTCACCACATTAATAGAATAAAGGAGAAAAGTCATGGGTAGACCTATATATACCACAAAAGCGTTTGATAAAATTCAGCATTCATTTCTTGTCAAAATTTTGGGCAAGCTAGGAATACAGAAAAACTGATTTAATCTGAAAAAGGGTTTTTACATGAGCTATAGCCTTTCTCAAATCTCTGCTTTCACTCAACTCTCTGGAGAACAGGCGACTTCCTCCTTTCCTGTCCCTCCTCTTGAGTAAATTGGCTTACTCTAAGTGGGCTGGGCTGGAATAAGAGCTCCGAATACGCCTACACATGTTTTTCTGTGTTCACTTGGCCATATACCTGGTGTCTTAAAATATAATATTTTGAGTCTTAAATTAATTAGACTTGATGAAATGAGTTCCATATTGACTTTTTGTCAAAATTTATTGTTTGCTCTAAATTTATAGGTCCCTAAATTTATGTCATTCTTTTACATGTTATTTTGAGCTCATATAATAAGAAGTACTAATAGCTTTAAATATAAAAGACTTGTTATAATTACTAGTCTACGTGTACACTCAGGGAAGTACTTCCCTGGTGTGTTCTGCAAGATTCTGGCATGATTTTTAAATTGTAATGGAAACTGCCAGCTTGGCAGTTGCTTCTTTTCATGTAATTCACCAACGCTTATTGACGTTATACAGACTGGAAGGCATGGTCTCTCCGCCATCGTCGAACAATATAAGGAATATATTTCTTCACAGGTTTTTTCCTCCCCCATTCCACACAGGTGCATTTTTTCCATTTTCTGTTTCTCCTGGCACGTGGTAATGTTCCATTCCATGTAAATACATTTTGTCCATTATCTTGAGCTCTTTATTCATTTTAGCACTTATTTCCACCCCATACTAGGGCAGCAAGAGAATCTTTCAGGATATTTACATTGTAGCCTAAAAGCTCTTAACTTTACACTTTTGTCTTATCTTTTTGTTCCTGTTCTCTGGCAGCCTCTGGCTCATAGTAGAAATTTAATATTCTTGATGCATCAAATTGACTAAAACTGTTTATCTTCTCTAGATTTTATCTGTTAGATTTTATAGGGTCCCATTTGTATTTCTATAAGTATAATCTGTATTAACTGTTAACCAAATTGAGTTTGGTTACTGCCTTTCTGTTGAATCGAATGTCTCTTATTGTTTTATTATAAAGTCCCACTATGAAAACATATAGAACTCTCCCTGAATTTTCCTTTGATCTTCATGTGTGTTTGATTTGGGGTTGTCTCCTGTCTTCCTAACAGGGCTGTTAGACTTGGATGCTTGTTCCATGTTTAGTTATATGATCAGAAAGAACATCTGTCTCTGTGTATTTTGGGCTTAAAAGCTTATGTTATACTGATTTTATTGTCTTAGATTATCTCAGTCTTTAATATATAGTGACTCTCACACAAGGGTAGATCCTATTATACTCGGAAGCTTTTACTGCTTCTCACTTTAAGGATAAAAGTTGTTGCTTGGCATTTCCCTTTGCCCTGACTTTCTTTGTTACAGTGTTTTCTTTATTTCCTACCATGCTGCCTGGTCATTACTTCCCTGTTTACAAACATATTCAGTGGTTTATCCATATTTGTACTTTAGTCTCTCCTTCAAATTGTGAGCACACCAGCCTCTGCTTATTGCTGTGGTATTGTAGACTAAGGTCATATTTTTAAATTTTAGTTTGTTCCCAGTTGTCTTGAAATCATATCTGGTTGTTTCAAAAACAACATTTCTGTAATAGTTCGTGGAGATACAACAGGAAACAATAATCTCATGTCTTTTTCTCTGCCTTTTTCATCATGAATGTTCCTACCTCCTTCCTATAACACTTTCCTTATCAAGCACTGCTTGAAGAGATGAGCACTGCTGTATTGACTTGAATTAGGAAACAGCATTCTGCCCCATGTGTGTGTTTTTAAAAACTTATCTAGTTTCCAGGTGATCAAGAGGTGCCTGCTTGGAAAACCCCTGATTTCTTATCTCCTGGATATCTTCTGTAACTTCATAGCATAAATTAGGCAACGGATATGGATTAGACCTTAATCATAATACAGCTGAATGGCAGTTTAATCCTACTTTGGAGAATTGGGGAAATTGGAGATTTAACTTCAGGCTTAATTTTGTATGTTGCCCATTAAGGCCTTGTGTACTTTCTTTTCTTCTTTCTCAGCTCACTAATAAGGGAATTAAGAATGTAATAAATAAGGACCTATGTTCAAGTTCTGAGTTTGAGCATAAGAGGGACCCAACATAACACATAACCCATAACGGAAGAGTGGAAATGCCCAATCCATAACATAATAAGACTAATCTTTTAAAAGGGTTTTATATCAAGTATTTTATCAAATCCTGTCAAAATGAACAATGAATTCTGCAAACTAAGGTTATTAGGGGAAAGAATATTGGTTATACAGTTTATTCTCATGTTAACATTGATCTAACTTTATAAATAACTCACTTTTTTGATTTGTAATAAAGCTTAGATTGTCTATATATTCATTTTAAAGTAATGAGTTGGCCTATTTTGAAATCTTTTAAATGTGTGCATTTATTTCTGTCGTACATAAAAGTTTACAGTGGTCTTTGGGTTGAAGTTCTGCTATAAAGAAGAATAAATCTGGTATTGTTAAATACTGTTGAAATTATATGTTTAAAAACATTTGAACCTGAAATTAATATATCAATTATACCTTAAATAACTTTCCCAGTGTCACAGGTAAAAATGGCAGAGCTGGGATTCAAACTCAGGTGTATGACCCCAAAGCCCCTGTCTGCATACACTGTGCTGTAGCCTGTCCGTATCAGTGTGTGCTCCTCTACTAAAAACCATTGCTCTAAGCACCTAGCTGCCCCTCCACCCCGCATTTATCCATATGTGCTAAATGTAAAAACTCTTCCAAGAAAATGTGTCTCATAGATAGAGATGAGTGTACTCATTCTGTATTAACAGTAGGCTTTCAGATATAGCTCCTGTTCTTTTTGAGGAAAATTAAAGAAAGGGGAGGTTAGAATATAGGTCTTCAGATTTTTTTTATTCAATTATTATTCACCATGACCTTGCCCTAGAGTTAAAACCTTACAGCACTGAATTTAAAAAAAAAAATTTTAAACAGTCTCCAAGGGTAATTCATAATTATATGCATCTAAATGATTTTTATGGTTTTACGGTGGCAGATTCAGTGACTGGAGGGCTCCCTCTTGTGGACCATTAAAGCAAGTCTCAAGATCCAAAGGCTTTTTTTGTTAATACCTTCTTCTGTCTCATAACTAAGTATCAGTGAAGTTTTCTGCTGTGCCATTGAGATGACAGAGAAGAGGGTCTGTGGAGAGCTGGGAGGAATACTGCCAGAGATGTGTTGATTCTCCATCCCTTTTGTTTCTTTAACCGATTGCCTGTATTGCCTATCTACTTTCTAATGTGAGGGAAAAGCAAGAGAAAAGTACTGCTTCTGAATTTGCCTGCTATCCCACATTTCATTTTTTTGGCTCAGAGAAGCTAAGACTGAGTGACTGGAAGTAATTCCTGTGATCATTAAGTAACATCGCTCATTTAGTTTTGGTGGAGGCTGATTAGTTTGTTCACAGTCACATAGCGAGGTAATGTGATATTTTAAGAGAGAACCAGCAAAGCCAGCAGCTCTTTAATAGTAACTTGATTAATTCATGGAACCTGTTGGCTTTCTAAGCTGGATTGGAATGTAGGTAACCATGTAAACTAGAACAAGCCTGGGACTTAAATAGTCCTAGCCTGGCAAAGGCTGGGCCTTAATAAAGACAACTTTTATCTGTTGTGTATTATGCTATGAAATAAATAATGGAGTATCTCATATTATAGAATGAGCTCATGAGAATACTGGTAATAGGGTCAGACTTTATGTATTATGGTCAGAGAGTGAAGTTTAGTAATTATCTAAATTAAAGTGCTCATTAAGTTCTTAGAGTCGCTGTTTTCTGTTCCCAGTGCCCTCTTTTATATATTCCTAATTACTTACACAACTTGATGCTCTTCTCTGAGTAGCCTCTACTTGCTTGTTTCAATATAAGAATTTTAGTTCTAATTATCATAGGGAGCGTGTGCGTACACATGCGTGCGTGTTGCGTGTAGAGGGAAAGAATCGGGGGGGGGGCGAGGAACAAACCTGAAGAAACTAAAAATGCCTGTCTTCAGTGAGTTCATCATGCTTCATCCTTGATTTATAGTTATTGATTCCTTTCCTTAGGTCATATTTTGGAAGCTCTTCTGGAACAGTTATCTAATTTTCTTTTAGAAAACTTAGTCTCCAGTTTGGCATTGTGTTTTCGAAGTCATTGATGTGTGTGCTCCTATGTGCTGATTCTACTTCTGAGGGTTTATTTTAAGGGAAACAGTCAGGATGTGCTCACAGATTGAGCTATAAGAATGTCTATTTCAGAATTGTTTGTAAGAAGAACGAAGGTTAGAAACAGCCTAACAGCAAGAATTATGTAAAGGGGACTCACCCTGGAGTACAAAGTTAAATATTTTACGTGCCGCACTTGGCCTGTGATCTGGGCTGAGGAGAGAGGTAGGTGCAGTTCCCCAGCGCCCAATTTAGAGAAATAGCAGAGGCATGTTTGTAAGAAGCAGGCTTTCTCTGGCAGAGAAGAAGAGAGCAGTTTGGGTAGTAAAGCTTGGAGGGCTTCTCTGCTCTCTCCTAAAACTTCACTTTGCTCTCTCCTAAGACTTCACTTGCATTTGTGTTAAGAACTTGGTGTAAAGGATTAGTCCAGAAAAATTCAGCCCATTCAGTAATGACTCTTTAAAACAAAGAAACAGGCACATCAGGTAATTAAGCAAAACAGTGTAAGAGAGCAGCAGACCGAAACAGTGATTGATAAGCACTTTATGAAGAAGGTTGCCATCAAACTGATGAAAATTGTGACCAAATTTTCTACCGTCCACTTTAAAAACTACATGAAGCAATAACTTCATTGTAAAGAACAACTCCAAGAAATCAGGGGAAAAGATAAGACAACAAAAGTAACTGAAACATGTACATTCAGAATCAGGAAATAGAAGGAGCAAATGTTTCAACATATCTCAGAAATGAGGACATTTGGTAGGAATACAAGGTAATGAACATAGCAGATAGAAATGGGAAAACAGAAAGAAACAAGTAGTTTAAAAGATTTGGGGAGAACATACTTGAGATGTAGCAGATGGGCAAAGGTGTTTCAAGATAACAGTCTCTGAATAATAAAACTAAAATAGTGGAACAGAATTAATATTTAGAGACATAATTCAAGAAAACTTTTCAGCAATAACAGAATAAAATTACCTTAAGGAAATACAGTATTTGAAATGATACCTCATTAGGATTTGAGATGTTTTAGTGGTGTAATTGTTCAAGTCTCAAATGTAACTTGGGACCTGGTTTCTCAAGATGAAGCGTAATTTCAAGCTAGATTTTGTCTTTCTGTTCCATAATGTGTGTGTAGTGTACTGCAGCAGTAGGGTGAGAAATGATACCTAGAAGTTAAAAAAAAAAAAAAAAGCTGATTATTAATTCGGCCTCACTCCTCATTAGCTTCCTAAATGCTGTCCAAATTGGCCACTTACCCCTTCATTTTTAGTTCTTTCATAGGAATGCAAATAAAGTACCCCTTCTCTCCTAGAAATGTGGTATAATGATTGATTGATTTAACAATTATTTGTGTGTAACTAGAAAAGGGGTGTTACAAGGTAGTAGACGGACAGTGTTGACTTGCTGTACTCACCACCTGCTTCTTCTCTTTCAGCTCAATCTGAAATTGAAGTTTCTGTGTCTGCAAGGAACATCAGAAGGTTATTGAGTTTCCAACGGTATCTTAGATCGTCACGCTTTTTTTGTGGTACTACCGTTTCAAATTCTCTAAACATTTTAGATGATGATTATAATGGACAAGCCAAGGTGTGTATAGCTTTTTCAAGAAATGCTAACGTTTTGATAAGTTTAATGAAGCTACTTCCCATCTGATACTTATTTATAGAGCCTTTTTTTAATATGTGAAAATCAGTTGAGCCCATTTTCCAGGTTTTTTGTTAAGAGCAAGGGAAATTTCTGAAGTAACTGAATAAATAAAAATGTTTTTATTTATTATAACATTAAGTAACAAGTAGAGCAACCGAACATTGAACTGTAAGATTGCAAGGCTCTTAATGCTGGGAAGAATATTATGCACAATCTGGTTTAATTTCTGTATTCAAAAGATAAGGAAACTGTGGCCTAAGGAGCAAAAGGGACTTATAGCTTTGATTATAGGTAAACCAGCACAGAAAGTTAGGGCTCTTGACTTCCAAATGATTTCCAGTCTCTTACATCAATGAAATATTTTGAGGATTTAGGTGTTTCTTAATTAAACCCAGTGATTGTGAGCATTATTTTCTTTGCCTAGTTTAAAAGAAATGTCTTAATGAAGGTGGAAGGTTACATGAGCTTGTTTTTGATCAAATGAGAATTTTTAATCTTACGTCTCTATATTTTTAGAATTATCTTGGTCTTAATATTTTAGGCCAGATTTTATAAGTTTGTGTAGATAGGGCTGGAGTACCTTTATGATGACGTTAAAGTAGAAAAACTTGCTTCAGTGGAAAGTGTTTGTGCTTTCTTTAAACTTTAAAAAGTTCACAAGGTCTTCTGTTTAGAATGAGAATATCGATCTGTGTATGATTGGTTCTGGATACTAGCACAATTAATCTCTACTAGTAGTCTTAGTATTGCTTATGTTGATCTATTTATAAACGTATACAACAATGAAATGTTGGAAACAAAATTCATTTTTTTCTTAAAGTCCACAAAATTTTCAAGTTATAAGTATATAGTGTAAAAATATAATCTATTTGGTTTTTAAGGTCACTGTGGAATTTATTTGTTTGGCTGAAATACACATCAATCTAAAAATTAATGTAGTAAATGCTACTGTTTTATAAGGATATTTAAAGAATATGAATAAATACCCATAAGTTGGGAGTGTTTTCCAAAAAATAGGAATAACATAATTTAAGCATAGCAGAGTACAGTTGTCAGATGCCTCGGCTCCAGAATCAGACCTCCTGATTTAAGACCCCAGCTCTATTGCTTTCTAGCTGGGCAAGTTAGTTCCTTTTTGCTTGTTTCCCCATCTATAAATGAGACTTGAAAACAGTGCCTACTTGGTAGGGTTGGTGTGAAGAGTAAGAGGAATAAAGCACTTTTAACAGTACCTGGAATATAGTAAGTACTCAGTTGTTATAACTTATTTTTACTAGATTTTAAAAATCTAGTTTCTAGACCATGCAACATATGAACCACACTTCTGTGATGTTAAATTATGTTAGAATTCTTGAAAGTTTGTGGGAGTATAGGAACAAGTTATAAAAAGCACTAACCTTACTTATACATTTATTCATTGCAAAACAAAATGATATTTGGTTTTTCAAATTGAGCCTTTAGACATTTTTTGGAGCCTGCTGGAAAGGCAATGATTAAAAGGACAATGATGTATAGCATTTCTTACAGTAAATCAATCACTTTCCATTTTCATTAACTTCTCTATGAACCATCTACAAAAGATAGTGTTATTGAAATTAAATTACAGTAGGAATGTTTGGTTTTCATTTCAGTGTATGCTGGGAAAAGTTGGAAATTGGAATTTTGATATCTTTCTATTTGATAGACTAACAAATGGTAAGTGAAGACTTTGACTTACTCAAATTAATGTGTTCTCTAGCTACTGCACTGCCGGCACGGCCCCTGGCGGGTTGCTGCTCCCGGCTACTTAGGTCAGGAGCCCTCTGCTGGGGGGGAGCATCATTTTGTGTCCTTATGACTGACCTATAAGCCTGGAGTCAGTCTCATAAACGTAGTTTTTGATTATTACTCTTAGCGGTAATCAAAAAACCAGTGGCCATCACTTGGCCAGTCCTTAAGGTTGCTATCGTTAATAACCCCAGTGCACGTTATTATCTCGTGTACCGGATTTTCCTTTTTTGTTTCTTTTGGATTGTGGCCATTTACAGTGACATCTTGTGATACTGTATCCCAGCTTCGATAGGTGCGGAGACGGGGTAGATCCCGACCTCCCGGGAGGCGCCCCTTCCTCCGCGCCGCCTCCCAGGCTTTTCTTCCTCCGCGCGCCCGGGCGGGCGTGGTGCCTCCCTCCGGCT